AGGGCACTAGAAATGTATCCCCTAAAGGTAAATATGCTCGGGGGGGAGGGGGTTGTAAGGCATCACATCCCCAGTCCTTATAAATCTCCGTCCCAGCATGCATTGTGAATAGGGAAGAAGAAAAGGCTCTTCACCGTGTGTGGGTTCACGTGCATCTCTCTGTTAGCGCGTTCATCCTTCCAGCATCATTGCATAATGCAAAAAAAAAAAAAAAAAAAAAGCTATAAGAGAAATAAGGTTGAGTGTAGAAGAGCATGAGGTCAACCTGAAACAATCGTCTGACTCTTATCTGCTCACAGCCAAGCCTGCAGCATCGTAACGCCGCTTCATTTTCTCTTCCTTCACCTCTTCAGGGCAGTTTTTCTGTCATCGCTTCATCTGAGCCTCATCTAGAAGAAGAGAGGAGAGGCCTGAAAGGAAACAGAGAGCAGGATTACCATCCAGCATTGGTCAGATGTAATTATACAACCGTTAATTAGATCGAAGCATCCATGAGGGCACGGAGGTGCATGTTTGGAAGGTTAATTTCTGCCTGCTGTGGTTTTTGCAGCCCTGTCTGTCTCCAGCTGAAAGTTCTCTTCTCTAAATCCTAAAATCTGCACTGATGAGGATTTAAATTAGCATTTCTCTGGCTGAGATTTAATGAAAGCTTTTAGGTTTTTGATTGTGTTAGAGTTGAAAGCAGTAGCGTAGCGGTCCCTGGAGAGGTGGGTATACTCACATTCTTTTTTTAATCCAGAAACAATGACATGTAAGACCGCTCTATTGTTAGGATAATTAACATTGATTACATGTGAGTTTATTACACCTTAATATTACCTGCCTGTTGCGTGTCAGAACTGATATTTACACCAGTAGTTTATCTAATCAGGCCACTTCCGCGGTCCGGCTATATACAGTTATAATCTTCATTCTGTTCGTGGCAAAGATTCGGGAAAAGAAAAAAGTGTAATATTTTGATAAGGCTGGAGCCATGGATGTCTACTCACCTGCTAACGTGTGTGATGTAATGATGTGGCAGACTGGAGGTGTATAAAATGCAGAGATGGGAAGTAACGAAGTACAAATACTTCGTTACTGTACTCAAGTAGATTTTTCTGATATTTTTACTTTACTTTACTACTTATTTTTATGGCGACTTTTTACTTCTACTTTTTTACACAAATATCTGTACTTTCTACTACTTACATTTTAAAAAATTGGCTCGTTACTTTAGTTTTAAATCATTTCAATGGAGTTACCGTTATTATTTTTCACGCCATCAATACCAAATTCAATCTAATTGGATGGGAATCTACGTTGCATTTGACGCACCACTACAAGATGAATCGACAGATTCGGCGGTATTCATTCGCAGCAAATCATTGCAGCTTGGTGGCGGTGGCGTTAGCATAGTAGCATGGACGACGAGATGATTGAAAATGAACACAACGGAGATCTAGTCCTATTGGCAGACATCCATTTAAAATGTAGGCAACGGCATGAAAAAAGTGGTTTCTACTTTTACTTTTATACTTTAAGTAAATTTACAAGCCTGTACTTTGTTACTTTTACTTGAGTAAAAAGTTTAATCAGTACTTCCACTTTTACCAGAGTATTTTTTAACACAAGTATCTGTACTTTTACTCAAGTACGGAAAGTGAGTACTTTTGCCATCTCTGATAAAATGCCTCTTTAACTGTTAATCGGGGCCCGGTTGGTAAGCAGCTGCCTTCTGTAACTCTAAGCAACTTCTCTGATCTGAGTAAGATCAGGGTTCCCGCGGGTCCTTAAAAAGTCTTAAAAGGCATTGAATTCTTCAAAATAAAACTAAGGCCTTAATTGGTATTAAAATGTCCTAAATCAGTCTTTTCGTAGGTCTTAATTTTTAAAACATCATAAATAGGACTATTTTTATTACGATTTATTTTTGTAATCTAAATAAAACGTTAAAATTGACAATTATTTATTTTTTTTATAAAAAAAAAATTACAGCTCGCCATTATTGGTTCCGTCCCGATATCGGAACCAATAAAAGCGTTGTTGCGGCCGGGACATTTGGGAGATGCGCCATTAACTTTTTGTATGGAAAATACGAGCAAGTGTAAATGTAACCAAAATTGTCTCCAACCAAGAGTTTTCTCCATGGATAAAACCAGGGAACATACATGAGGCTCAGAGGATTTTGTGCAAGAAGTCATTCAAGCTCAGAACGATGGGAATTAAGGCAGTGGAGTCGCACATGCGAAGCACGAAACACAAAGCATCAAAATGGAGTTACAGAGAAACAGCTGGTATTTCTCAGTTTAGTTCCACCCTTGTCTCTGCAACGCCTCCACTTATCACCAAATCAAACATACTAAGAAAACCATACAAAGAAAAATAGCTGCAAAAAAGACTTAGCACTGGTTATGTTGGGGCTTTAAAACTGATTTGTTTTGTTCCCTGCTAAAACAAAGTTTGTGAATTCAGTTAAATAATTGTTCAAATATATCTGTCATTTGTGTGTTTTTAGCTTTCTTCCTGTATGGGAAGCTTTTCAACATTTGAAACATTAGTGCAGTGGTTTATGTTATAATAAACCTTTGGGTTAAGTTGTTGCAAGCAGGTTTTTCTTGTGTTTCTTGTGAATTTGGTCTTAAATTTTTATTTCAAGTGGCATTAAAAAGTCTTAAAAAGTCTTGAATTTAACTTGCCTTATGCTGTAGGAACCCTGAAGAATACAATTTCTATCCAAATCTCTTGTCATGTCTCATGGTTATTTAATACTGCCTTCTGTGGGTTTTTGCAGCCCTGACTAAGTCTCCAGTTCTCTTTTTCTAAATTCTGAAATCTGCACTGATGATGACAGCAGAAGCACTTATATTTGCATTTCTCTGCCTGAGATTTAATGAAAGCTTTTAGGTTTCTGGACGACACCGCTGGTTGAAAGACTGTGTCGTCTGCATGACACGAGGATGAAATGTCCTTTGAAAGACCAAACAAAGACTGAACTAATAAAAGTTTCCTCAGCTGGGAGGGTGAGTGTGGAAACAGGATTCAACTTTTATTATCAGCCAAGGTAAAGCTATGGGGGGCAGCTTGGTGCACGCTGCTTCTAGATGAGAAATTATTCCTGAGGAGTCTGGGGAATGATTGGAAACTGCAGCAGGTTCTGGGATGCTTCCCTCAATCTGCTGACAGGTTTCTGTTCTGGTCCCTGAGCTGTCGGCTCTCTGCAGCTATTGCTGTGTCAAAAACACTCTGGTGTTTCCCAATCGCCTCAAAATACATTAGGCTCACAGGAGAAGCCATGCATGGTTTTGTTATTTTGAGTAGAAATAAAAATATGAAGTAGTGATTCTAAGGTTGATTTTTTTTATTCTCCAAACAATAAATTATTCCCAGATTCATTGTAAATGTTGCAGGATGACCTCAACCCCACTTCCCTTTGCATCTGAGTTAAGCCTGTTTTTTTATTTCTTCATGCCACCTTAAATACAGCCTCCCATTACTCTTTAATGCTGTTTTAGATATGGTTATTAGTCTCCTGCTGGATCCTACAGCTCTATATTGTAAATCAGCAAGCTGGTCAAGCTCCTGCTTTAAATTTTTACACTGATGATTATTTTTATTTTTTATTCTTGACATCTAAGTGTCTGCAACATTTCCACAAAACCAAAACGTGATGAAAGTCGAAAAAATATGATTCACTGATCCATTTTTATTTATGTAGCACCAATTCACCTCATGTCATCTGATGCCGCTTTAAAGATAAGCTTCAACCAGATCATCCAGTTAGATTGGTTTAAGGTTTTTTAAGGAAAACCAGCAAATTCCATCAACTCACTGACTTTGCAGGATTCTGACCTCCTGGCTGAGTAAGTGGCACAAAAGACATTTGCTTGCATTGTTAACGTTACAGAAATTGCATAAAAACGACAATATGCAGAGGAAGAAAGGAAGAGAGGAAAAAGCCCTTTAAACGGGAAGATGCCTCCAGCAGACAGGTGGCTCTGTTTAAAAAAGAAAGAAGCAGATGAGGTATAAGCCAGCTTCCACGTATATGGAATGAAAGAGAGCACATCCAGTTGGTCACAGTAAAAGCTGAGTCAATTTTTAAGTCTAGGAGAGAAACCGGATCAAACACTAAAAGAAACAAAAAAATACCCAATTCTATCATCTAGAAACAAAGGTGTTGATGGCAGCAGCACAACTGATATTTCTCTCCAGGATGGAGTCACAGCCAAACAGGAACAGACCAGATGAAGCTACTATGAGAAAAAGCAGAGAGAGCAGAACATTAGAGATTGAATTAACAGATAGCAGATTGAATGAAGCAGAATGATGAAATGGGGGTCCCTATGTCCCCCAGAAGTCTAAGCCTATAGCAGCTTAACTATAGAGATAGCTCAGGATAATCTGAGCCACTCTAACTATAAGCTTTATCAAAAAGGAAAGTTTTAAGCCTAGCCTTAAAAGTAGACAGGGTGTCTGCCTCACGGACTAAAACTGATAGTTGGTTCCACAGGAGAGGAGCCTGATAACTAAAAGATCTGCCTCCCATTCTACTTTTAGAAATTCTAGGAACCACTAGTAAACCTGCAGATTGAGAGCGAAGTGCTCTGTTAGGAACATAAGGAACAATCAGATCTCTGATATCAGATGGAGCTTGGACATTTAAGGCTTTATATGTGAGAAGGAGGATTTTAAATTCTATTCTGGATTTAACAGGAAGCCAATGAAGAGAAGCCAGGATAGGAGAGATATGATCTCTCTTTTTCATTTTCATCAGAACTCTGGCTGCAGCATTTTGGATCAGCTGAAGGCTTTTAACTACGGTTTGTGGACTTCCTGATAGTAAAGAATTACAATAGTCCAGCCTTGAAGTAACAAATGCATGGACTAGTTTCTCAGCATCACCCCTGGACAGGAGATTTCTAATTGTTGAAATATTCCACAGGTGAAAGAATGAAATTTTAGAAACCCGTTTGAACATTTTAAATCCCTAATGATGGTTGTTTTATTTGCCCCTGTCACAGGTGAACCAGGAGAATGTGGTGAAGGTGGGCCACAGGCAGGTGGTCAACATGATCCGCCAGGGAGGAAACCGGCTCCTGATCAAAGTGGTGACTGTGAGCCGGAATCTGGACCCTGAAGACACGGCACGCAAAAAAGGTACAAACTGGGAGTTTTTAATGGAAACCTTGCAGAGGCACACTGGGTTTTACTGACTGGCAGAAGTTCAAACACAAAGTAAAAAGTCAAGGAACTGTGAGTTTCAGGTATGAAAGAGCAAAGCACAACCGTAAATCCGTTCTTAGAGTAAATAAGGTGTAAAAATCTTTCTTCTGGGTGAATCCGCCAGCAGCCAACCTCCAGCATTAAGACACCCTCCCTGTTGTAAAGCAGATATCCAACAGATTTTCTGTTATGTCATAAAATCCCTGTGAAGCAGCAAGGAACATGACTTCCTCCAGCCTCAGATTACAGACAGTAAATGTGTCTCCTTAATATTCAGCTCAGGGCCGAGGCTTAGCAGCCGCTGTTCTAACTGGGGTTTCAGTTACTGTATGTTGAGGAGTCTGATTAAGAGTAGCTCGTTTTAGTCTCAAATATGTCAGTTTTAACAGTTTTTGGAAGCAGCTTCTTTCCAGTATTGGTCTGTATTTAGCTCCTGTCCCAATCCACACCGCATGATTCAGTTTTCCCATTGCTTGATTGTTGGGAATATTGCATTCATGGTGGTTTTTCATTAGAATAAGTTTATCTTATTGGAGCAGTTCAGAGCAAAGGCAGGTTAGATATTTAGCATTTTTTTAGATATTGGCCTCAGAGGCGTAGCTAGAAGGGTGGCCAGGCAATAACCAATGTACACCGAGGGGTGGCCGAAAGCGGATTGGCACCAGAACCTCACTGTCAATCTAAACTGTTCCAACAGGAAAATTAACAAGCAAAACATCCACATTTTCTAAATAAAGACAAACTATACTTTCCTACAGCCTTTGCTAAAAAATAGACACATATATTTAAACATCTGTAATTTTTTGATTAAAAGGTATACTGGATGACACTCAGTTTTGAGTTCTGTGGCGTAAATCAATCATCATTGTTATTACTAACCTACTTGTATCAATAAACGTTCTACATAAATCAATTTAAATTGTTATTTATCTTTGATTTCACTGAAGACTCCTAGATGACTTGCAGAGACACATATTTTTCTCTTTACCCCATATAACACAAAACCAAGCTCTGAAAAGAGCAGGAATTCTGTGCTTATCATCTTTGCTGTTAGTATATTGATGTGTATAATTAACCACAAAAAATAAAATGTTTTGAATATTCCACTTGAGAGTATAACTGTTGCCACCATCTGTCTTAGAGGGAAATAAATGATAGGGGTGGCCACAGGGGTGGCCAATGATCGGCTACCCTGGCCCCCCATCTAGCTCCGCCCCTGATTGGCCTATTTGTGAACATAAATAATCAGTTATGCACAGAGTTAGTTAGGATGTTTTTTTCGGCTCACCTTGTCATAGCTTTGTCTTCTGTTTTCCAGGCTTCTCAGAGCTTTGAATTGTCTTAAATCTATGCCTATTGGGCCACATGCAACATTTTCTCAATTTTGTTGTAAATTTTCTCCAACCATGAGCTCTTACGACTCGTCACATCAGATTCCACAAATGTTCTGAACTTCAGTAAATGATTCTTTTGAACCTAATGCAGTCCACCTCTGGACTTAATGCAGCTTTTATAGTTTTTGTTCCAGATTAGTGTAGCATAAGAACTAAAAGATGTTGCTTCATGTTTGGTTCCGGTTCTGCAGAGTAGAATAGAGCTAGTAGACCTGAGAGGTCTGGGTGATCAGTCCACTGACAACTAGTCTGGCATGTCATTTGGAGCTCAGCCATTCAGTGATTTATAGACACGAACCGAAGGATTTTAAAGATTATGAAGGAAAGACTTCAGAACCTGGCTAATGTTCTCTACAGCATCTGGATCAGCCGCAGCTATCTGATCTTCTTTCTTAGTTCTAGTGAGGATGCAAGCAGCAGCATTCTGGATCAGCTTTAGCTGTCTGATCTTCTTTCTTAGTTCTAGTGAGGATGCAGGCAGCACCGTCTGGATCAGCTGCAGCTGTCTGATCTACTTTCTTAGTTCTAGTAAGAATGCAAGCAGCAGCATCTGGTTCATTTGGATTAGCTGCAGCTGTCTGATCTTCTTTGTTAGTTCTAGTGAGGATGCAGGCAGCATCATCTGGTTCAGCCACAGCTGTCTGATCTTCTTTCTTACTTGTAGTCAGGATGCAGGCAGCAGCGTTCTGGATCAGCTCTAATTGAACCTCTTCAAGGTTCATGTCTGAGTTCATCACTATCGCAAGATTTAGATTATCCTTTATCTAAAAAAGCTGTGTATTATCTCGATTAGGGTGTAGCCAGTGATGCCTCCTCTTTTCCAAACAATATGTGTATCATGTAATGATGCAGCAGGGTGTGACTCTGCACATCTAAAAAAGGTTATTTCAACGGATATATGGTCGGTGGTTTTTTACTAGTTTAACTGAAGCTATGTGCTAAGTTTTTAAAGTTCTTCTTTTGGTCAAAATGCAATTAATTCAGTTTTGTTTTGATCCAGATGAGCAAAAATGTTGGCACATCCATGCGTTGATTTCTTCTATGCATTTATTGACAGTCAGAATCGGATCTCGGTCACTTGTTCACATCTTAATCTGCAGATGGCATAGTTACGGTAACTGATTTTTTTTTTTTTAAACTGAGTTGTGGGGAGCATGTAGGTATTGAATAGCAGGGACCCTAACATTGATCCATGGGAAACTCCAAATAGGGTTTTTGTGGTCTCTGAAAAGTATGTAAAGATACATACTGTGCATTTGAAGCAGTGTGTTAAATGTGCTTTAATGAAATGCAGTGTCATTTAATGCACTGAGGTCCAATTAAAGCAGCACTGTGTCGTCTCTCCTCAGAACACTTCATAGAAACATTCAGCATAATAATAATTATTTTATATATCAATCTCTCTCTCACTGTGTTCCTCAGCTCCTCCACCACCAAAGAGAGCCCCCACCACCGCCCTGTCCATGCGCTCCAAGTCCATGACCTCAGAGCTGGAGGAACTCGGTAAGAGCTGCATTGTTGTTCCTTCTACTGTCCGTAACATCAGGAAGTGTTTCTAACAGCACCCCTCTCCTTTTCCTGTTCCTTCTCGTCCTCATTGGTTGGTTAACCTCACTGTAGTGGATAAAGGTAAGCAGTCAATGCTGCAGAGCCTTCCTACCCGCCTGCATCATCCACCGGCATCTAGCGGCTGAATGAGGCTTTGCTTTAGTTTGGACTTGATGAAAGATGAAAAGCGCTTTTCCCTCCCTCCTCATCTGCTGCCCTCCTTTTCCATCATGCATGGAGGCTCTTACTGCTCTAAAACATGTCCGTCATCAGTGTGCTGGTTTGGCTGCTTTCCCTCTTTAGGTTTTTGTTTTTATATTTGTATGGTGAGTCCCAGGTTTCAAAAGAAAAACGCTGTCCCGCCCTGACTCCTGCTGACACAGTCGCCAGTCAGCGATTCTGAGATCAGAGGACAACACGTTGGAGCCGAGGAGGGAATGAGGGAGGGAGGGTTGAAGGGAGCAAGTTTTGGACAGGACGAGGACTCAGCTGATGTTTCCACATGAATTCAGTTTGCTTTAACGCATTAGAAAGGTGCACTAGGGTTTGGAATTTGCAACACTAACTAACTGTATAAAACAATAAAATAGTAATGGTGGAAAAGTGCCACTCATCCGTCAGCAGTAGAGATGGAGCATGTGGAGGTTAGCAGTTATTTCCTAGCTTTAAGAAGAAGTTAAAGAGTTCTGGGTCAGAAGCATGTTTCATGTTACAGGAATCCCATGAATTGGAATATAGGGATGATCAACTGGCCTCTTCAGGGTCACATTTGTCCTGTAAACGTGTGAAATGTGCCTCTAGCCTCGTGAGACCATCCTGAACTCGCGAGCTTTCAAGGTTTCCCTCGCAGATCATTCTGGCTACTTTCCGTTAAAGAAAATTTGGAGCCGTTCACCAAACGAACGTCCAATCAGCGTTGGCTTTGAGGCGGGTTAAGGTGTGACGCAACGAGAAGCGCGACAGTTCATTCTAAAGAACTTTAGGTGATGAAACTAGCGTTAGCGTGGCTGTCGAGCAAATTTTATCGGAATTACAGAGTATTTCTTCACTGAAAGAAGAACAAAACACTGCTCTGGAGGCTTTTCTCAGAGGAAAAGAGGTTTTTGCTCTTCTCCTGACTGGTTTCGGCAAGAGTTTGATCTATCAATTGGCTTGTGCCTGGCTTGTCGTTGTGTTTTCGTTGTCGCTCTGTTAGTACGTCATATTCTTCATTGATCTAATTGGTTTATTTGGCCCGTCTATCACCAACATAGGCCAATCAGCAAACTAGTATTTTCGCCCCTTCCCAAAATTACTTCACGAAAGGTTTCCAGATGGATACGCGGAGCAAATCCATCTGGCGGAGTCAGGTTAATGTGCCTCCATGTCATGGTTGAATGATATAAGGAAAGATTGTGAGATTGAATTGAAATGTCTCAACATGTAGTGAAGCATTTTCCCGAGAGCTGCTGGACTGAGAGTTTTCAGCCTTCAGCCGTCCTTTATTTGGATTCTTCACCCTTAGGTTGAGGCCGAATGTCTGGGGATGCTGGACCAGAACCAGACTGGATGTTCTGGTATGTTGTGGTCTGAGCTGTGGCTATGATGGAAAGGTATCTCTTCATCAGTTCCGCCCCATTGTGCATGTCTCCCCATAGCATCATGCTACCACCACCATGCTGGACAGTTGGTAGAAGCCTCAAAACCCAAGTGCAGCTTTTGTGTTTAGGCAGCTCAGTCTTTCTCTGTCTTGTTTCTTAATGGGAAGGATCTCTTTGGTGGTTTCCAGCTCATGGAAGGCTGCCTGGGTCATTCTCCGGTTGAAGAGGTTGAAATGTTGCTACAGCAGAACGATGATCTCAAAAAGCCACTCCAGTTGGATTTGGGTTGGATAAAGTAGGCTAACATTAAACTTCTGGGAGAAGTTCTGGTCTGTATCTGGAAACCATCCAGTTTACAGGTACAGCTTCTGCAGAGAGATGGTTAGATATCCTACCAGAATGGTACCAGTAGCTTACCAACAGACATTCTTCCAAATAGTAGTGGGTGTGCACAGCTTGTTTACCTTTTAGCCCGTATTTTTTGCTCCGTGGTTCAGAGAAAACCCAGAATAGTTTATAAATCATGAACCTAGTTCCTGCTTGATTGGACCTAGACTGTGTATCTTTTCCCATCCTGGAAAATGAACAAATCACAAAGCTCTAAGGTGCACTGACTTTACGATTGGACACCTTCTGAAGCTTAGCCTGAAAGTTTAACAGCTTAATAAATCACATAGCTTGATGCACTCAAGAGCTTCTGAGACAGAATCAAATGAATTAAAGGATGTCTGGAAATCTAATCCAGTAAATCAGAAGCCATGAGACCGGAGAGAGCAAACCTGAAGCCAGTTAATGATGCTGGGACTTTCTGTTTTACTAATCGGACTGATACCAATATGTCAACATGAATAACAATGGCTGATACTAATCTTAATGCTTATAAGATTAGTATCAGCTAAGATAAGATCCACCTCCTGCTGTAAAGGTGGTTAGCAGCACCAAATTCCTGGGGGTTCACATCATAGACAACCTCACCTGGACTGTAAACACCACCTCACTGGTCAAAAGGGCACAAAATCGGATGCACTTCCTGCGGAGGATGAGGAGAGCCCACCTGCCTCCACCCATCCTTACCACCTTCTACAGAAGCACCATAGAGAGCGTTCTGACCAGCTGTCTCACTGTGTGGTGTGGAGGCTGTAGCACCTCAGACTGAAGAGTGAGAAGAGTTGTCATGAAACGAGGACAGATGGACCCAGTATCTAAGGCGAGACAGTCAGTAGGAAAGTTCAAACGTTTATTAAATAAAACAAAACAAAAGCGGAGCTGTGGCTCGCGGACACTGCAGGCGGGGGGGCGGGGCACTGCCCAATCTCAGACACTCTAGGGAGGAAACACAGGTAAATGACCACGATAAACTGATATATGATTATCTGGGTTGGTCACTTACCTGGTTTAACAGTCCAGACCACGAGTGTCCCCAGTGCCCAGAGGTTATGCTGGAAGCTGATCCTGGTGAGGGGTCCAGAACAGACAGGAACAGACAGAAACAGGCAGGATCCAGATCAGGCAGGAACAGAAACAGGTGGCAGGATCCAGACTTCCAGGCATCCACAGGCTTCCAGGAGGGTTCAGAGTCTGACTGGGACCAGAAGCATGACCAGGTGGTCACGCACAGGAGCAGACAGGATCAGGTGCAGATGAGCAGGCACAGCGGAAGAGGGTAGCTGAGACAGGACGTAGGAACCGGAACTTGAAGCAGGACTTTAAACTGGTCTCCTCGTCTTCCCCGCCGCATCAAACTACTGAACTGTTGAAAAAACTCAAAATTGCAGTATTTTTGTTTGGTCATAGAAAATTTTATTTAGCACACTCTGTGCATACAAAATGAGAACATAACAGCCAGCAGCACCCATTCTAGACTTCCTTTTCCATGACTGCTAGTTATGATGATAATTCAGGTACAGCCACTATAAACACAGTGACCTTAGGCTGCGGTTAGGTCAGCCATGGGTTATGGTCTGTTTCTGAGTCTAAATATGGCTGCTGTTTTCGCTTTCGCTCCATCTACTCCTCAGTGTCTTTGAGACCAAGGTTGACACGTTTTCCAATTGAAAAAGTTGCTGATCTTAAAAGAAGCCATTTACCAAACGGCTCTGGTAATTTTGGAGTCATATTGATCCTCTTTATAACCCTGAAGGATAAGCGATGATGACTGGAAAGCAGACAGGTGGTTTGCTGCTGTTCAGATTCATGTTTCCTGTAGGAAAGTTGTTGTGTGACGTTCGGTCTGCGCTGTTTACTGGGACCATCTGGTCACAAACTGGGACTGCACTGAATGAAAGGCTGAAAGTGTTTTAATCTGGTAATTTGCTCAGGATTAGGAGTCTCCCCTGTTCCTTATGTGTGAACACAAAGTCTGGGAGGAAATACAGACAAACCTTAATAAGAAATTGTATTAGTTCCTTTTAGGGGCGGGCTAAGTTTGTGTCAGCGCACTGAAGAACTGTTTTTCTTTCTGTCTTAAGCCACACTAAGGAAAAAGAAGGGTGGTAAGTTCTCTCTAGGCATGTTCAATCAGATCTTCTGTCCCCTTGCATCTTTGTGAAGAACTAACAGTTCTTTTTCTTTTCTTTTTGGATGATTATTTATTTCATTTGTCTCAGAGTGAAACCATGTGGGGGGGGAGGGGGTCCTCTTAACTGCATGATTTCCAAGCTGCTCCTGATCACAGCTGCTCTGAGCATCAACGTTGTTCAAATGTTGCATGGTTTTACGTCGTAATGGTGTCACACAGAAAAGGCTGAGAATCCCAGATGATGGCGTCTTTCTCCTTGTGACTCAGTTGGAAGACTGATCCCAGGAACCACCTGCAGCAGGGCGCCTCATGAGGGAACCAGTGTGTGTTTGTGCATGTGTTGGCTCACCGTTGTGTTTGTCTTCCTTTTCCTGTGGTGCTTTGGTATTTTTTTTTGTTTTTTTTTGTTTGTTTGTTTTTTCCAGGAAATGTTTGGTTTCCAGGGCAACCGTGCTGCATGTGGTCCGAGTGGGAGACGGTGGAACAGAGGGATGAAATGTGTATCTTTCTGCCGTTTTGTGTCTGTGCTGCTGTCATTGATAGTCCTTTCCTCTGCTCTGTGTGTAGATGTGCAGAAGAAGAGGATTGTTTTCCAAGTGACTCTAAGTAATCACCCCCCTAATGCATGGAAGCTTCCTACATCCTGTGCAGAGGTAGTCAGGGAGGTGTCCCATTCAAGGACAGATCAGGGTTAGCATGGTCTGCTGCTGGAGGAAGTACATGAACCGTATTTTATTTCTAAGGTTTCAAAGTATGATGATATCCAGTCCCTATCAGGTCATAAAATGAAGAAAATATTTTAATTTATTTAGTATATAGATTCATAACATACAGACTAATGTATATTTAAGCTGGTTATTTGTTGATTTTGGCAATTATACCTTTAGAATATCCCATCAGACCCATTAAAATTGGTTTTAAGTCCTGAGAAAACTGCAGACTGATCCAAGTCATAATATAAAGCTGAATGGAGCGAGGAAATATATATATATAAAAAAAGTCACATGTATAAATGCAGTCCTGAAAGGCCTGTTAAAGAGTTTAGAGGAGATTCAGAAGGAGTCAGAGCTTAATGATCTACCAGCCACAGATGTCTGTAAGACGAGGGCTGCAGCTGTCACAGTCCCGGGGTTAATACCCAGAAACAAGATCAGAAAATCCAGGAAAAGGACGGAGTGGACTGGAGTGGAGCTCTGTGCTCTAAGGCCGTCTTTTTAGAACAAAAAGACAAATCTGGGTTGTTCTGCTGGAGATCAGCTGAATAGTTTGTTCTTTTATTTGATCCATTCAGGCAAATAAAAATAAAAAGAGTAGCATAGCCCTAGATCACATAGAGTGTACTAACAGACTTCTTGTTTAATGCCTGTTTGATTTTTATTTGATTTATATTAATACATTTGTTTCATACTCCAAAATTTGATTGGTAAGTTGTAACTGCCATTTTGCAAACTTGTATTGTCACAGATGAAGCATTTGAGTTCAGGTGTACTTCAATCATTTAAGGACTCAATGCCAATTTTAAATGCATTCACTTGTATTGACTTACATTTATAATTTCTGACGCCTACGCATTCGTTATTGACAGTTATCTTAGCTCATAACAGCTGATGCATGCTCCTCAGTAAACTCATCCACCCACTGATGCTTATCATGGAATCTGGTTGATCAATCTGCGTATAAATCATCCTATTAATTTATCTGGCGTCTAGTTTTTCCAAATTCTGACACACTTATCCCGTTTGACTCATTGTAAGACCTGCTGAGGACACGTTGATTTCCTGAAATCCTAACCCTTAGAAATAAGATTCAGTTTTTTTTTTCATACCTAAAACCTTCCAGTAGCAGAACCACTAAGGAGGACGCGCACCTGATGACATCATCACCCTCTAGTGGCAGGTTCAGTTCTGCCAAATTTGTCGTTGAGGCCCTTCCTTGTGTTGCAAGGTTAAAAAATGAAAACTGATAACGGCAAACTTGACAGACAACACATCATTGCTCGTTTTACATCTCTGATTGAACGCCCCTGAGGCCTGGATGATGCTTCTGAGCCGGCTGTTTGGGAAAAGCTTGCACGGCTTCCAAGGCTGGACATATTATGTCATCAAAGTCCTCATATCCGCTGTTTTCCCTCCTCCCAGAAGAAATATATCTCAACATTTACTGTTTTAGTTTCATCTGCAGTTTTAGTGTGAGAGCACAAAGACAGAGGGGCGCTGTGAATGACTGGCTTGCGTTCGACCCGTTAAGGTCCAGCCCTGCCGCTGTTTGACCGCATGTTGGTTCGGTTTGCAGATAAAGTTGAGGAGATGACGCACGCCCAGAAAAGCTCACCTGTGGACACAAAGATCGCCACCATCAAACCTCGTCCTTCCAGTCGCTGCTTGGTCACTCCTACAGATATGAATGTAAGCAATTCAACTTGTTTAAGGTCCAAAATACAAAAAAATTTGTTGGATTTCAGTTATGTTTAAGGATGAGTGTTACAGGAGGTCCAACAGAGAAACATTTTGCTTTCAAAGATGAAATAAAGTGATTGTTCTTCATTTGAGCAGGTAAGTAAGGGAATTAGCAATTGGAATAAGATGATTTACATTCAAAATAAAAATTAAATCTGTATCATCTTATTTCAAGGGCAGACATGCTAATTCCACCTTATTTATCTGCTCAGATTAAGAGCAAATTTCATTATTTAAGTAATTTCTCTTTTTTTAGATCAGTTTTTGCAGTGAAGAAACAAATCATTTTAAAATCCCAATCCAGTCCACATTTCTGATGCTTTGTTTCCAAGCAGCCAGACTTTTCAGTTAATCCGTTCTTCATTAGTTTTTTTCTGATCTGTTCTTGTGCCAGTCCAGGAAAAACATTTTAAGTTTAAAGATTGAAGAGTGGATTAAAAAGAACAGCAGAACTTCTCCTCAGAAGATTAATGATATCTGAAAATAGAGGTTTTAAGCTGCAGGAGAAAAAGAATCCACAATATTTTTTATGACAAAAGTTCAGCCGAAAGATTTTTGGGAATTGAGGCTATAATCTCCTCTTTTTTGATGTCCTGCTTTGTATTGAAACATGATGCTAATTCATCCTGCAGGTCTGAATGAATGAGCGAAAGCTAAAAACAAATGTCATGTAGAGAAGTTTGACAGATTTGACAGAATTTCTAATCTGGAGTTTTTATAAAGCTTCCACCTGCAGGTATAGATTCAATCTGATTCATGTTTCAGTTAAAGAATCTGAAATTTGGGATACCAATATTTATTTCCTCCATTCCTGCCAAAAACAGATTGTTTATGTCTGAAACCTGTGCAGACAGACAGCACCTGCCTTAGCACAGCTCTCTGAACCGGAAGATTCTTGCTCTTCATTTAAATTCTGCTGATGTTAAAAATAGTTAAGAGCTTCTACACTGAAGAGTGTTGATGGGTCTGATTTCAGCAGTTAACTGTGGTGCAGTCAGTGACGGGGTAAAGGACGGTTCTTCCAAAGACCAAGACTCAATCTTTGGAACTAAACTCTCATTTTGGGGCATTTCTTATTTGCTGAAATAAAAACATAAAAAGCCATTTATAGCACAAAATGAATTTAAAAAAAATTATTGTTAGACAAAACTGCTTGATAGTATTAAATCATCATAATTAGCTGATAAGTAGTTGAATGCAACCACGCACTGACACACTGTGCATGTAAACTCTGCCGTCTGCTAACACGCAAAGCAATAAATCAAACCAAACATTTATAGTTTATATAACAGAGGAAAATAAACTAAACTAAATCATAAAACTAGTTCAAATTACGTAGCTGTCAGTTGGCCATCATGTCTAGTAAAACCAGAACTTGTCCTTCTCTGACAATGAATTGTTGTTGACGTTTAACACGTTGGCCTGTGCATTTTTCTTCTTTGTTTCTTTAGACTTCTTGTTCTGCAATGGAAAATAACATAAAGTTACACGTTTTTCCTATGCTGGATGCCAGGTGTATGCTCGATATGAGCTAGCTGCTAATATCTGCTGATGGATGGGAAAGACACAAATACGCCCTTTAATGAAGGACCAGATAACATAATCTATTCTGGTGCTATTTCAGTACAGCAAGAATTCATTGTAATTAACAATTAATGTTTTGTTTTGTTTCTACCTGAGATGACAGCATGCATCTCTGCTGACATTTCTTCCCTTATTTTTGATTTAACATCCTGTTTGCTTGTTTCGTGTGTTCTGAACATTTGCTATGTTCTACAAAAGCTACGGCATCACATTCTTAGACCAGGCCCCCTCACTGATTGAAATAAAAGACGCCCATTGACTCCAGTCGCCTGCTAGGTCCTCACTACTTCTTTGAATGCAAGAATGCAGCAGATTTTAAAGTTGTAGGGAAATCATATTTAAATGTCAAATCATTCTGGCTTAAAAATTTAGTTAAATGTACTCTTTATCAAACTATATTGTCCCAATATTTAGAAAATTTCTATTTAAAAAAAAAAAAATTCCAGTCTTAAAGTCTGTGTTTTTTTTGTTATCTTATGCAGGCCAGTTAGTTTTATGTCAGCTTGTACACCTAAATTCGGCCAATCATATATCAACGGTCATCTGTCAATCAAAAATTTTTCAGTCATCTTTATTCATATGTCGCAGCTAATATACGCAACGGTTGAAATAAGGGGATAGACGTCTGTGTCTTCGGCAGGCGTAGAGCTAACAGAACTGGCAGCGTTGCGATAACCTGACTCCGCCAGATGGATATGCGGAGCAAATCCATCTGGAAACCTTCTGTTGAAGTAATTCTGGGAAAGGGGCGAAAATACTGGTTAGCTGATTGGCCTATGTTAGTGATAGACGGGCCAAATAAACCAATCAGATCAACGAGGCATATGACGTACTAACAGAGCGACAACGAAGAGGAGCCAATTGATAGATCAAACTCTTGCCAAAACCAGTCCGGAGAAGAGCAAAAACATATTTTCCCCTGAGAAAAGCCTCCAGAGCAGTGTTTTGCTCTTCTTTCAGTGAAGAAATACTGTGTAATTCCGATAAAACTTGCTCGATAGCCACGCTAACGCTAGTTTCATCGGCCGAAGCCGCCATGTTCTTTAGACTGAACTGTCGCGCTTCTCGTTGCGTCACACCTCAATCCGCCTCAAAGCCAACGCTGATTGGACGTTCGTTTGGTGAACGGCTCCAAATTTTCTTTAACGGAGAGTCTCCAGACTGATCTGCGAGTGAAACCTTGAAAGCTCGCGAGATCAGGATGGTCTCACAAGGCTAGTGTTGCAAGGCTGTAAGCCTTCTACACCAAACCAAACTTCTGCCGCCCTGGCGTCCTCTTCCACAACATCTTCGTTCCCGCTTTCCTCCTCTAAATAAAAAATGTATGATGGAGGAGACTCATCCACGACCTCAGACACTAAACTCTCCTCCTCTTGCATGTTTCCGCTGTCCATAGCGTTCCTTGACAGTGTCGTTTCTAAGTCACCAATTTAGTGCTACTTGGTCCCAATGGAATTTCCCATTGGGAACCTACTAGCACTAAGTTTCTAACTGGTTAGCAGGATGCTTCCGACAAACCGACCACAATCAAAATGCTTGCATTCCTTCCACCACAACAATCCCACTCCCTTGATAATCGACAAATCACATTCCCTTTACTCGTGCAAAGTCGGGCACCACTCGGGAGAATTCAACCGTTTCCCCACGACTTTATGTGGACTGGATTAGAAATTTTAGTCTAGATTAACACCAGGATTAGATCCTTTTCTCTGGTTCTTGGAGGACTACAGAAAAGTGTGTATGTCTGTTTTTATCATAAACAACATTCTGATTTTCAGTCCATGTATCACGACCGCCAGGGAGTAGCAGTGGTGCCGCCCACTGTGCCAGGAGCCTACCTGGGGATCCCAGAAAAGGGCACCATGAGGAAGCAGAAGTCTATAGGTAGGATTCCTGTGGAGTATGTGTGTGTGTGTGTTTGTGGGGGGGGGTGAGTCCGGTGGCTTTTAGCTTGTCAGACGTTTCTGTCGGGGCTCAGAGGACAGTCTCCTTGTGCAATATTACAGCTAATTAAAGATAAATTGAAATGTTCCGGTCAGCAAAGTGTGCGTTCAGGCGGCAATAATGGAGGTCATTAAGCGTATGCAGAGACTTGGCTGTCACTGCAAAGCTAGAGGAGCGTCATGAAGGCTGATGTTACTCATGGGTGCTCGATTAGAAATGCAATCAGTGTTATTATTACAGGAAAGGATGAATGTTAAGGTAACATAACTATGCAGGGAACTCATGTGTATTTTAATATTGATTGACTTAAATAAAAAGCTGCATGCAAAATTTGAAGTAAAGGGAATTCAATGTCAAAATTTGTTCCTGTTGTTGCTGTTTTTTGTTCTGATTTGATGCAGAATGAGCAGCAGTGCATGGTTGAAAAGTGGAAGCAAAATAAGTATTTTCTAACAAATAAAAAACTAAACTGTGTGGAATGTATTTGGATTTTATTTCCTCTACTCTGATACACCTTGATATGATCTAAATAAATAGTTGCTATCTAAATTATCTAGTCTGTAATTAGTCTTGGTTTGCATTGGAACAGTGAAAGCAAGCCACAGAAAACATGCAGTCAGATAGACCAGTGTAATGTTTCTGGACCTACATATAAAATGCTGGAAAACTAACCCTGGAAATTACACTAATAAGATCTGTGTAGGATCATTTGAATCCCAAATGATCCTACAACCGCTTCCACTCCACACCCAAAACCTGAAGCTGAGGCTGCAGAAAAGGGGGAAATTCCATCAGTTATAAACAGAACCACCAACACACGCGGTAAAATCTCCAGGAGCAGTAGAGATTGGATTTTTCTTTTATATCTCCAAGAATGAAACTGTGTGCTGAAAAGCCTGATCACAGGCAAGAAACTGAACCATTTTAAAGAAAGAAAAGGAGAAAAAGCTGCTGCTGTTTTCCAGTTTTATCATCTGTCGTCAAAAATTTCTGACCTTTCATTAATGCTCCAGTTATCGCCTCCTGCTGGCCAAGCATATTTGTTTAAATTGATTTTTGAACAAGGATCCTTTTTTGTGAATCAGTCATTGGTCTGTTCCAGCAGGAGAAAAATTATTTGGTCTAATTTTAAGCCAAACCATGAACCTTTATAACCTTTTTTTTATCCTCCAAGCAATGATGAAGGTAGGAAATGTGAAATTCGCAGATTGCCTTTGTTTTTTAGCTTGTTGGTGCTCAAACACATAGTCTGCAGTCTTATGTTGTCATAAAATTACAGAAAAATAACAATGTCTCAAAATAGCATAATCTGTCAAATTGTTAAAAGGATCAATAAGGTTCCTTTAACAAGAATTTAAACCTATCTTTACGGGCAGAAATAAGAGTATGGCCTGATTTTTTTTCCTCTGTTCTCCATTTCCTAAAGGTACGTCGGAGGATGATAAACAGGGACTCCTAACGCCTCCCCTGCTCAAGTTCTCCCGCAGCCTCTCAATGCCCGACACCTCAGAGGATATCCCTCCTCCCCCAGCGATTTCCCCGCCTTCACCACCTGCCTATAACTCAGTTGCTGGACCTACAGCAAAAAACTACGGCACCACTCGACCGAACTTCACCCAAAACTCACCAAACGCAGTCACCACCATCAGCCGGACCACGGATGTTGGCAGGTTACGCCGTGGATATTTCCGTCAGAGCTCGGAGCAGTTTGAGAGCACACGTACTAGAGGGCGCGCACCCGTGCCTGAGAACCCTTACTCTGAGGTCGGCAATAAGACGCTTTATGTGCCAGCAAAACCAGCTAGAAGGAAGGGAATGTTGGTGAAACAGCCTAATGTAGAGGACAGTCCAGAGAAAACATGCCACGTGCCATCCAGCCCTTCGGGTGCAGTTTCCATGCCCACGACACCTGTCGAAAGGACGTGCTCTTCTATCCCCATTCCCACCATCATTGTTAAAGAACCTTCCACCAGCAGCAGCGGCAAAAGCAGCCAGGGTAGCAGCATGGAGATTGAACCCACTACCCCAGAACATCCCCCTCTAACATCCACCATTGGGGGAAGTGGAGGTTTGCGTCCTGAAGACCCGATGTCTCTTAGCAACCCCTTTGCAGTAGCTATCGCTGGAGCTGTGAGGGACCGTGAAAAGAGACTTGAGGCGAAAAAGAACTCGATTGCCTTCCAGTCAATAGACATAGGGGATGATGAAATGAGCAGCCCCGCACCAACTCCTCGTCTTCGCCAATCTAAATCCATTGATGAGGGCATGTTCAGCAGTGATGAACGCCTACGAAGGATATTAGCTCCCCCTTCTACAGTCCAACTTGGACCCCCAGTAGGTGGTGGTAGTGGAAATATGACAGATTTCAACACGCCAGAGCCTACAGTGGTTCGGGAGCCTCTGAACACCAGAACAGGCCAGTGTCCCAATCTGGACAGTCCAGTAAGTCTCCCAGCCACTCCTCCTAACAGCCATTACAAGGCAAATGGAACCTACCTCCATCCTGTCACTGGTAAACCCTTGGACCCTAACTCTCCTCTAGCTTTGGCGTTAGCAGCTCGTGACCGAGCCATGAAGGAGCAACAGAACCATCCTCAGAATCAGCCAACAAATCCCCCTCAGGTTCAGCAAACACCCAAACATGAAGCCCAGTCCCTGCCACTTCAGCAGAGCCACAAACCAGACCTCAACCAACCGCTTTTTATTGACACCAAATTGCGTTCTGGGATCGAGACCAGCTTTGCAGCAATCTCCACGGCAACCATGGGACGGCCAGGCAGAGGTGGGCTCCGGCGACAGATGACTGAGCAGAAGTATGAATCTGATGGAGCGCGGGAACAGCGGCCGCATCAGACAGTTGAGGAGCGAAAAAGCGCGCCCGCCAATGTGGCAGAGGCGTCGCAACCCAAGTCAACTGGGCTGTTGATGGTCCACACAAGCCCTGACACACCAAACAACAAAGTCAATAACCAGGAGGTAGAGGTGCAGGAGAGCAACCGTCCTTCTGAGCTGAAGGACCCCAACCAGCCTGATCGTCACATTGCTCCAACAATCTCCGCCAATCCTCAACAAGCCGCCTCAAGGAGAAGAAGTGTTCCTCTAGGAGAATCTTTAGAAGAACCAGTAAAACTGCCATTCCGTATCCCCCCTCCACCACTAGCATCAGTCGACATAGATGAGGACTTTGAGTTCTCAGAGCCTCTTCCCCCACCACTTGAGTTTGCAAACAGTATTGACATTCCTGATGACCAGGCCAGTGCCATTGCAGAGATGATTCAGCAGCAGAGACGAAACGGAGGACATCCTTTACCACCTTACCATCCCCACGCCCCTCCATCTGTCAGTGATCACCACAAGCGTGTGCTTAACAGCATGCCCCCTTCGTACCACCCAGCTCCACCTGAACCAGAATCTGGGGTGGCGGATTCTGGCATTGAAGAGGTTGACAGCCGCAGCAGTGGAGATCCTCATCACATGGAAACCACCAGCACTGTTTCCAGCATCTCCACCCTATCTTCAGAAGGAGGCTTCTGTGACAGTGCTTTGGAGAGCCTCTACACCACTGCAGATGGACACGCCTTTTTAGTGGACCGGCCGCCTGTCCCACCCAAACCCAAGGGAAAGTCTGTTATCAATAGAACTGCGCTTTATCATGACGCTCTCATTGAAGAGCCCCCTGAGTCTTATGGGTCACCGCCTCAAGCGCCTCCTCCTCCCCCATCTTCTGAGCCTCCTAGGACTCCTTCTCAAAGGACATCTAAATTGTGGGGGGATCAGCCCCCCGAGCTACGCAGTCCCCCATCCACGCCAGACTCCAAGAACACCGTGATTACAGAGCTCAGCTCTATCCTGCAGCACATTAATCGCGACAGGCCTACCAAGCCAGGAGAGGCCCTCGACTCCCCCACAGCCACCCGAGGGGGCTTAACATCCAGGTATGTCAGGCTTTCTTGCTATTTTCTATCTGATATATTCTACCGAGATCATCAGACCGAATGATTTACACTGTTCTCAATAATGGTTCCATTAGGAATTTCCAGAGGCTTTTAGCTATCATTTGAGTGATGGCATTTTTTTTTTTTTAGTTTGTGCTACTTGTTAACATGTAATCTGAGGTTGATGTTGGTAACTTTCTGCACTGAAATTCTGCTAAAAAACATTGGGTTGAAGTAATGAACCCTTCCTGGAATTGGGATCAGCTTAGCCAAGATGCTGTTTCCATGGGATGGGCAGGAATTATTTAGCTTTCATCTAAGCTGAAAATGTAGATGCTTCAATCAATCACAATCAACCATTGGTCGGTTCAAGGTGGCTTTTTTCGGACAGATTTAATTAGGAAGTCTTATATTTTCCTCAAAGTTTTCCTATTTATGTTTTAACTAAATATATTTTTATGTCTCCATTAATTTTTCACACCACCATTTATGAGCAACAATTAAGGAAATCTAGGCAGTGAGTTAAAAGTTGAAATCAGAGTTCAATTAACTTTATTTGTATAGCACCAATTCACAGCATGTCATCTCAAGACACTTTACAGAGACATTTTCATCAAGTCATACAGACAGGTTGGTTAAGGCTTTCTATCTAACTTAAAGCCAATGACTGAATCCAGTCTTTGACTTTGCAGGATTCGATTCTCCCGGAAGAGCATGTACAGTAGGCATTTGCTTGCATTGTGTTGTTGACTCTACAGCTTGACCCTGAGCATGCAGCAACAGTGGAAGGAAAAACTGCAGCAGAACCAGGCTCAGTATGAGCAACCTTCTGCCGAGGCTGAATGGGGTTCAAGGAAACAGAAGCAGAGATACAGAAGCAGCATAAAAGCACTGATCTATAAATACTTCCTTTGTTAGAAAAGGTAATGGTTAACATGCTGTATTGGCTCTGTGTGAGAAATAAACAGTTTCACAGATTTACCAGTTTTCATGCCAAAAGGGATGAAAGAGAGCATGTACGGTTGTCCTCAGTTAAAGCTAAGCCCATAGCTATGTCAAGTAAAGAAACAGCACTAAGCTCTTAAAAACAACTCCAATTTATTAATCTATAATTGAAGGTGTTAATGGCAACAGCACAGCTGATATTTCTCTCCAGGATGGAGTTAGAGCCAAACAGGAACAGACCAGATGAAGCTACTATAAGAAAAAGCAGAGAGAGAAGAATGTTAGAGATTGAACTAATAGATACTGCAGAGTGGGAGAATAGAGAGAGAATGAAGCAGAATGATGAAAAGGGGTCCCTATGTCCTCCAGCAGTCTAGGCCTATAGCAGCAAAGCTATAGAGATAGCTCAGGATAACCTGAGCCACCCTTACTGAAAACATTATCAAAAAGCCTAATCTTAGTAGCAAGCGTGGAGTCTGCCCTTACAGACTAAAACTGTTTGTTGGTTGGTTTGTCATTATCGGATGAAACCTGGATATTTCAGGCTTTATATGTGAGAAGGAGGATTTTTTTATTCTATTCTGGATTTAACAGGAAGCCAATGAGGAGAAGCTAGAATAGGAGAGATATGATCTCTCTTTTTCATTTTCATCAGAACTCTGGCTGCAGCATTTTGGATCAGCTGAAGGCTTTTAACTACAGTTTATGGACTTGCTGATAGTAAAGAATTACAATATTCCAGCCTGGTAGTAACAAATGCATGGACTAGTTTCTCAGGGTCACCCCTGGACAGGATATTTCAAATTTTTGCAATATTATTATTGCAATATTATATTGCAATATCAAATTATAGAAACCTCTTTGATATGGGGTTTAAATGACAGGTCCTGATCAAAAATAACACCAAGATTTTCACTTTATTATCTAAGATCAGTTTAATCCCATCCAGATAACGTGACTGACTAAAGTTAACAGAGAATACATATTGATCAGGATCACAAGAAAATCTGTCTTGGTTATGACCATTTAAAGATGTCTCTTGTTTGGAAAAACTTGTCACATTCTCTGCTCCCATTTTTTCACAACTCTCATCGAATCTTCGGCAGTCTGGTCTCTCCTCTATGGTCTGTGATCTTAAAGCTAATTCTGCAGCATAATTAAAAAACATCCAGTATGCAATAGTTTTGAGGAATGTTATAACGATTTCACTCTTGACTATAAACGTTAATAAGTGTAATGTCTTCTTCAAATGGTCATAATAAGTATTAGCCTTTTCAGTCTATCCATCCATCTTCTCCCACTTAATCCTGTCAGGGTCGCGGTGGGGACGGTGCCTGTGGGCGAGAAGCGGGGTACACCCTGGACAGACCGCCAGTCTGTCACCAGGCAACACAGAGGCACACAACCATTCAATTCAATTCAGTTTATTTATATAGCGCCAATTCACAGCTCAAGGCAGTTCAACCAGATCATACAGTAAAATTGATCAAAGTTTTCTATCTAAGGAAAACCAGTTGATTGACTCATTGACTCAAGTGCAATACCTCACACTTAGCGTTGTTGTAGCGACAGTGGAGAGGAAAGACTCCCTTTTAAGAGGAAGAAACCTCCAGCAGAACCAGGCTCAGTGTGAGCGGCCATCTGCTGAGGCCGACTGGGGTTCAAGGAGACAGAAGCAGAGATACCATTCACAGACACTCAAATCCCAAGCACAATCTAGAGAAGCCTATTAACCTAACAATAATGTTTTTGGATTGTGGGAGGAAGCCGGAGCACCCGGAGAGAACCCACTCATGCACAGGGAGAACATGCTAACTCGATGCAGAAAGACCCCGAGCCAGGAATCAAACCCAGACCCTTCTTGCTGCAAGGCAGCGGTGCTACAAACTGAACTGTGCAGTCCCCTTTTGTTTATTTATAAGTTATTAATTTAGGGGTTTTATTGCTTTACTCATATAAAAAGTTTTTTTAATTATTTTGTACTTTTGATTCAATTCAGTTTTGTTTAGTTATATAACGCTAATTCACAACACATGTCATCTAAAGGCCCTTTATGGGGAGACTTCAGTCAGATCATCCAGTCATATTGGTTCTTGCAAATGTTGAAATAAATTAGTCAATTCATATTATTTCTTGTTTTTTCCCCTTTTGTTTGATCAATTAAAAAAAGGGAATAATCAATACCAGATTGATAGATATCATTAAGAGTAGCAGTATTTAGTCACCCTTATTTATTTTTTTTTATTTACTTTTACAGTGTCCTGTCAATGTGACAATAAGAATAAATGTCTTGATGCCAAAAAGAGAGCCCGACAGATTTTGCTTTCACAAGTGGAGCAGTACGGCTTTCACCATAATGTTCTGCTTGATTTATGCATATAAATAGCTTTATTATAATTAATGCAGGGAGTTACAAATGATATGGACACAGTAATGTAAGTAGAACAGGACAGGAAAAAAAGGGGAAAATATGAAAGAAATATATAAAAAGGAGATAAGGGTAAAACCTCGTCAGTCTGCTTCACCTGCAAAGAGATGTAAAAAGAACAGCACAACTAATGAATATAGTATGAGATACAAAAAAGTAACACCTTGATACTATTGTTGAAGTCTAAGTAGTGTTATTTAATCTGACATGTATTCTGTGGTAGCTGAAGATAAGAATATGGGCTTTCTGTATGGAAGTGAATCTCTAAGTACCAGGAACCAAGCACCTGTAGTTGTTTATGAGAGTGCACTTGTGCATGTAAAGTTTATCCAAAGGAAAAATGCTCAATAGTGGTTGTGAAGAGCCGAAGAGGTGCCCCCCCTCCTGAGCACCAAGGCAAGCGCCGGAGGACCCAAAGCCCCAGACGTCCAAAGGGATTAAACCTTATTTATACCTATAACTGCCCATTAGATTGGTTAAAATGTTTCTATTTAAGGAAACTAAATAGTTTCTGTATTAGAGAAGGTAATGGCTCCATAAGTGGTTTTGTCAAGGAAAGAAACGGTTAAGCAGATGAGCTCTGACCCGGTTGATACAGAGAATTTGAATTATTCAAATGTTTTAATAATTATGTGTATGAAATTATTGTTGAATTATAAAAAAGAGTTATGGTAGCGTTGATCATAAGAAAGTCTACCAGGTGTGTCCTGTGCCACTGGCCTGATAGCTTAGAACAGGGTGGGGGTTGGTGATTCAATACAGAGAGGTTCTGATGAGACTAGAGGGATGGTTTTGTCTTTTATTCGAGTGGATTTTAGTGAGTTCCTTGTGTACAGTTACTCCACAGTTTTGCCTTGAATAGTCAACATGAACAGTTCTACTAAATGATCCTGAGCCAATCCGTTTTTCCATCCGATTCCCTTTAAGCAACCAAAGCCACCCATCATTCTGTAAAAGTGGTTCTGATCCATCATTTTGGGGGATCTGCAGAAGTCCAAGTTGCAGTAAATGTGGAGACATTTACCATCCCCCACCACTATGTGAGACAGGAATAAAAAGCTGCATCAATAATTCACTTTGCACATTAACTTTGTATGAACAATCCCATTGCTCAGAGAGATGGGGAGGCTGACGTTCAGGTTGTCTAAGCGAGAAGAAGAAGATCATCTAAGGCTCAATGTCATTTTTGTTCTCCTTCACTCTGTCTAAATGTCTCCAATTTCCATCCTCTGTTGTTCCTCTTTGTGTCTGTTGACGTTCGCTCCTTTTACTCATTTTCAGCTCCTGTCTCTCCATCTTCATTTCCCCCAGTGTCCTGTTGTCCCTTCACTTCTCCTTCATCCACCCCCCCAGTGCTCCCCTCCTTCAGGTAGGTCCCTGCATCTCCTCCTAGTGCTCCTTCTTCATGTCTAAGCACTCTTAGCAGAGTTCGGAGTCCATCTCAGGCCCGTTGACCTCCAATGTTATTCTGTTTTTCTATGTTTGTATTTCGACAATTTTTTGTGGTTGTTTTTTCTCCTCAGGTCATATTCTTTCATGCTTATCGTCGTTTATAACTTTTCTTGCATTTCTGTTTAGCACTATCCATGTTTATTAGTCTCCTATCCTCAGCTTCTGCTCACCTTTG